TATTAGTCATTACAAATCTGGTAAGAGCTGAGATAATCTCTTTTTTAACACCATTGATTTGTTTTAAATTTGACGTTTCCATCAGGCGTTTAATGGCTGTTACTCCTCCTTCCTGCGGGATCATTGTATATAGATCTGTTACATCCATTACTATGAATGATGTGGCTAATGTAAGATTACTAGCCGACCATCTTTCTACTTGTTTAATTAATTGAACACCATTTATAACAGTTGTATCAACTGCTAAACGATCAAACAGGAGTCTTGATAAACCATCTAACCATCTAGAAATCTTGATGGTAGGAGATTTAAGACCAGCCATTATTGGTCGCAATGGTGTATTTGGTTTATGTGCTTTAGGTAAGAAATAAAGATGAACTAATTCAGCGTCATCTTTATTTACTCTTAACTTTTCATATTGTTTTTGACTAATATGTTTACTAGTCCATAAACCATAAAGTAGATCATTTGTCTGTTCAACTAAAGACTTAAGTGGATTTATATTACCCAAGTCTTGATATGTTTTGGTTTTATTCATATAAATTTGTGCCTTCATTCTATAGTCATCAGATTTACTATGATGAAATACTTTAGATTTATCTGTTTTGCTAATGACTGTGTGTGTAGCTTCAAACTTCTTTAATAAATTATTAATTTTCTTTTTATTGAACAGATGTAGGAATAAATTCAAATTTTACTAATTGTTTTACAAATCACCAAAAAAGTATAAAAAAGATATATAATCCCCCCCCCCCCCCGCGGGACTCGACCCATACATCTTGTGCTATCCTAGCAGTCGTCATAGCCCATTAGACCAGAAGAGATATCTAATCTTAGTTTACGCATAGTAATGTATCATAAGTTACGTTTTTGTCTAAATTAAATATTTTCTGAGCAGTAAAAAAAATGAAGAAATTTCATGAAAAAAAATTCAAGTAATTTCATTTCAAAATATTCTATTAAAGCACCAGGAATAAAAATCAAATAATATAACCAATAGATCGGATTCTTTTTTTAAAATTCTATGTAAAGAAAATTTCTCATTTCACATCAGAATGTTTTGATGCTAGTAATATAAGTACACAAAACATGAAAGAATTATCGTCCAATACGAAAATAAAATTGTCCACCGTTGTTGCAACTCGAACACGTAATCTATTGCTTGATTATGTAAAGAAAAATTTAGGTGGCGTACAAAATATCACAAAGAAATCATCTGAATAAAGAAATCCAGATAATAGATATTACATCTAAAGAGATATTTAGCTGAAAAATATTACAAGATACATTAGAAAGAGGTATCATACATCGATATGACAAAGTATTCAATAAGGTTAACAAAGAAACAGAATGAATAAGAAATATATCATAACATACTACATGATATCCAACTGATTACTATTTCAAACGAGAGTATATATTGATGTCTCTCTAGACTATAAATATCCCGTGTGTTTCAGCATAAAGTATCTTCTATTACCAACTATGTATTCAGGATAACCCATTCATTTAGGTAAGTTTTAAGTATTTTTCTCTTTTTCTCTTCTATATCCTTCACCTTCTAAATCTATTAGGCCGGTTATGCTCATTATGAAAACAGGACCCATCCTGTCCAGTTTTTTCAATTTCATCAATATGTCCTCCTTAGGATTGTCGTCGATAGACGTACAAAAACACAATTTTGTAGAAAATCGCTAAAATGTATTGAATCGAAATAAGCAATATAAAAATCACAAGGGAATAAACATGAATAGAAATAATGAAATCCAACAAAGAAAAAACGAAAGAAACAAGAGAAGAATAAACATACACAGAATTTTATTCAGATTTTTTCTTTGCATTTAAAGTGTCTTTTTCCAATTTTTTCTTTGCATTTGAAGCGTTTCGTAAATTTGCCTTTGCATTACGAACTTCTTCTTGGAATCCTCTAATACAAAGATTATCAGCAAACACTGGAGGGTGTGACCCTTTACCATCAGATTTATGATTACAGTCCGAGAGAGACAGCTGATCTTCATACTTTCTTGAAATAAAAATACACCATATTTTGTCACATTTTTTCCCATATTTTCCCTTACATTCTTTCCCAGCTTTTCCCTCACATTCTTTCCCACATTTTTCTCCACATACTTGGAAGTCGCATGTTCCTGGCCATCCGTACTGAATACCATGACTTGTTGTCAGAAATACGGTTGGGTCTGCATAACCTGCTCGTTTGTTTAACTCCGTCAGTGACAAAAATTTAGCCAATTTGGTTTCCGCGTTCTCCTTATATTTGTTCATTTTCTTGACTATGAGAAAGAAAAAAAGATTAAGTATTACAAAAGATTTTCTGAATTAAAAGAAACCAAGTCGCTAGATGTACTTACTAGCGTCGTATTGGTGTTGATTCACCTGTTGACCGCTGTTCAGAGTAAACATGGTTGTAGCTTTTGTATCGGCGGCTTGTCGAGCTACAAAAAGAAATGAGAAATCTAGAATCAATTGTATACTAAGAATATCATACCTTTTTGTTTAAGAATTGTCGTTGTACCACCGACTATGGGGATTTCTTTAGACATTGTTGCAACACCTTTTTGAGCTACAAAAGATATGATAAATATACAATCAATTATATAATGAGGATATCGTACCAATTTCTGCACCACGTGTCGTCCAGCTACCATCCTCCTTTTGGATTTTTCTAGTTAGTGCTTCAGATACTTTTCGACCTACAAAAGAAATGAGAAATATACAATCAATTATACAATGAGAGTATCATACCTGTTTCTAAATTAATTGTCGTCCACGTGCCATCTGGTTTTTGGAATTTTTTTCTTTTTGTTGCGGCGGCCTTTTGACCTACAAAAGAAATGAGAAATATACAATTAATTATTTATCGGAGCTATCGTACCAGCTAATTTGCGGCGAGTCATCATCATACCATCTACTTCGATTTTTTGTGCCATATAGACATGAAGACGTTTAGCTAAAGAAAAATTAATAATAATTATCTAAATTTCAGAGAAGTAGCTCCCGCGTTATTGAAAAAAATAGATGCTTGTGTTTTCACAGAGTACAACATAAGAAACTATGTTTGATGGTACTCACCAATTTCGCGCAATTCTTCTTTTGAAACGTTCGTCCATCGATCTACGAAGTTGAAGCCAGAGTTCCCTTCCCGTCCAAGTAACATTGAGCATAATGTTTCCATTTGGGTCAATGCAGGAACGGACTGGAAACAAACTTTAAAAAGTTTTACTGAGATTTTTTAATGAACTTACACATAAGTCACGATGTGACATCAATGGTGTAATTTTAACCATTTGTTCGATTTTTTCTCGATCATAACCTTCTTTGATTCTAAGAAAGTTTATAACCTTTGAAATCGAATCTATAAAGAAAAAGAGAATTATTTTAAAATGACAGTGTTCATCTTAGAAAGTTTTTTTTCAAAGTCTCATATCTGTCACCGCTGCGTCACCATGAATATCTCTGATAATATCTACCAACTAGTTGTGTGTGCATTCTGTAAAGTAGCTGTACGTACCTGTACGACGTTGGCAGTTGTAATAGGTGGTCTCTCGACTAGAAAGATTCGTTGTTTCACCTATTTTTCCTTTGATATTGACTATTTTTTTTTCTTCATCAATATCAACATTTTCAAGTTGAACAAATTTCAGATTTCCTAACGTCTGATCCAATAACATTTTTAAATGTATCCATTCTGGCACAGCAATAGTCAGCACATAGACTGCATGGTTGTTTTCATCAAGTTTACAGCCTAATTTACCATCATGAACCTCGGCAGCTGTTAAGAACGCAGGTTTACCATCACGTTCTGTAAGAGCACGCTACAATTAATAGTGATTTGGAATAGAAATTAATAAGTATGATAACTAAAAGTCTTACCAACAAAGTGCCACTTTCCAGTTTATCACTTTTGTACTTGTCCAGTTTTTCCAACAATTGCTTGAAAATCTTTTCATTCTATACAAGAAATGAATACATCATTTGAAGAACTATATCAAACAGTTTACTGTATTTACATTTTCCTGATCACCATTATAAAAGATGTCTCTAATCTTTTCATGTTGCCAATGAGCATTAGTACGCTCGTCTACCAACTGTTTTAATTCGTTGATAGCCTGTAGCAATCAGACGCATGAGAAATATAATATATATGTTTAGTCTCAGTTACCTGCTCATCATTGGCACTTGCCAACCCCGACGATTGTATCGTCGAACCGATTTGATCTTTTTTAGGTGGTGCATCAGGTTTCTGTAATTTAATCAAAGGAGTAATTATGAAAAAGAAAGTCAAGTATGAATCAAAACTATGTCCTAACCTTTTCAACATCTTTCGAGCCAACAAAATTTGATGTATCCGATAATAATGGTACTATTTTTTGCTTTGGACCAGTACTCTATATAGGAGTATAAAAACATAGATAAGATAATTAAATAGTTTAGTTAGTTTACCGATGGAGGATTTTTGTTGCGTACAATATCTATTGATGTTGAGGACGCCACAGATGCAGCCGAATTGCCATGGGAAGCCTTTTTTAACACAGCTGGTGTCTTTGCTGTTGCTGGTGTTAAAATTTCATGTTTTCTTTTACTGCCGCCCTGTGACCTACGAGAAACGTAAGATATATTAACTATCTAGTAAGTTTCTAGTAAAGAAATATAAACATCATAGTAGATTTAAAACTTTTGTCAACTGAAATCACAGTCTGAAGAGATCGTGAACACGATGAGATACCATCCTCAGCAATGAATTTTGACTCACACTTCATTGTATCAGGAATCAATACTTACATATTATCGGATTTTTGTTCTTTATCGTCGACCGATGAATTATTTGCTGGATCATTATTTTCCTAGTATTAGATAGCTTTTATATATTTTATAGAAACATCGGTAAAATTACCTGTGTGGATTTATTGGCAGACTCGCTCAAAGATGATACATCTGTCTCAGCAGTAACTGCAAGGATTTCCCACCCAACTCGAAGATCCTCAGGTAGAGCCATCAATTCAGCATGTTTAGTACCTAATTCATCAATGTTTTCTTCATCGTTTTCATCCAACCAATATTTTTCATGTTCGTCGCCTAATTATTTTTGTATAATTTAGTATAATTATAATTTATTTCGAGAATTTTCACTCACCTGCTTCAAACTTGCTTACAGTTGATCCACAGGCTGATTCGCTCATTGAATCAGTAGTATTGCCTTTTTGATTATTTGTTTTCTTGGGTTTTGGATCCATAATTACTAGAAATAATGAAAAGAGAAAACTACGATTAATATTACATCATATTGCATAAATAAAATAACGACTTTGCGAACGATACTCTTCGCAACAAAAACGCTTCTTCACTTACCTAAATATATTGATTATATTTAACGAAAATACTAAGTAAAAAAGCGTGTGAAAGTTAATCTAGAACAAAAAACATCATTAAATTAGGAAAATGTGTTAAGTCGTATAATATGTTAAATGCAGATTGTGCTTGAGAGTATTGAAGTTTAATAAAAGCTAAATAATAAATAACGTTGATAAAATGAAGGTAGAAATCACACTATTTACACACTTTTACATAAGAAAACGCGAGCTTTATATATATAGTGGAATTATCTAGGTATAGAGTTAGATGTGCATAGGATATCATCGAGATGATGTCTAAATAGAGAGATCTAGATGAAAGATAGATGAGATTACGTCTGAAAAGATATTACAATAACTGTAGAAATACCTGGCAGAGAAAGGATTAACATCGAGGTTAAAAATTAGTAAAACGCACTAAAGCAAAATAGCATAACACTATCTATATTTCTGATTGGTTTCAAAAAATTATTTAAGGATGTGGGTATAAGTATAAATAGACCTAAATAAAGTGACACCCAAACCGACACCCTCCTAGTTCTCCTAGTCCCCTAGTTCCACCACTTTTTTGTCAGACACGGGTAGTTTTTCTCCAAAATTCGGTTTGAAATAAAATAAACCATAGACTCCATATCAAATGATATAAGAACGAACGAAATCGGAGTGGGGTACCTCGAGAAGTGTCTGTACCGATTTCTGATGGGAAAGGTATATGCGCTGATGATACTACACCATCATTTATTTCTTACTCTCAAGAATCGCATTGTTTTGATACACAACACACGCTTATATACTCGTCCATCGCATAGAATGAAAGAAAAGGTAATGTTAAAGTACGTCATGAGAAGAATCGAAAATATCATGCGTACAGCGCATGCAAGTGATAGCGTCACAACTAGTATCTAAAATAGTTTTAAAATTTTGATAAAATAAAAAGACAAATGATAAATTTCATGATGAAAGAAAATAAATTCTATCTATTAATATAAAAAAACGATTAAACTTACTTGATTCAGCATAATTATTACAACCGATAGTTTGACGATTGTTACATGTATTTCTTACTGTGTTACTTTGAGATTGTTGACTATTATAATTAGTATTTGTTGGTTGTTGATAAAGCGTATAGGTTGATTTCCCGTAGTTTCTATTATTGCCACCGTTATAGCTGTTTTGATCACCGCGTCTTTCTCTAAATAATGATGCATTAGCTACAACAACGATCACAGCAATAATTATAAGGCATAAATATTTTTATGTTTAATATCGACGATTGTTTAATTTGATGGTTGAATAATAATTAATAATGAATATTAAATGAGATAATTTTTTTTAAGATTTTCAAAGATTTATATTTGATATAATTGTTCATTGTAACGATTTCTGAGTTAGTATAGAACTATATAAGAATATGTATTTATATAAACTTCTATTCTTCCAAAGAAATCGCAACCATACTGTATTTTCCTCGTCCCTTATATAGTACTTGGAAAGATACAGT